AAACATACCAAAACAGAACAAAACAGATCATAAGGAAACAATTTTAAGAAACACTGATTTCAAAGCAAGTCCACTGGAGATCTTCACTGTCTGTCATATTGTCTCTAGTTTTCTTCCAAATAGTTGTCCCTGTCTTCTCACACAGTGAATACATACTGAACATTATAGAACTAATCTGATCATAATAGGGTGATGGAGGCTTTTTAGGTCTTCAAGACCTGACATTGGGAACGTCAATAGTGACTGCCATAATGTCCCTCATTCTCTTCATAGTAGCTATCCTTATCTTTACGTACTCTGAAACTGAACATAAGAGACTAGACTAATATAACTCTGAACAGTAAATAATAGTTTTGCTAGATTTTATATCACAATGTTACAGAATTAGCACTGGGTTTCTTAGTGTCTCTTCTTCAGAGTATCTATTTGTTGCTACGTGTGTTGTATAATCTGTTCCTGTAAACTGTTTAGAAATTCTCCCTATATGTGAATCTCTACATGTATATCTATCCTTTCTGTATTTTAGGGAAAAACAGCTCATAATAAGACAAAAAAAAAACACATTCTTAGAAAAACATGAAATTAAAAAGACATATAAAACCACATTATTAGGTGATCTACAGTAGTTACTGTGCTTTCTCTTGTTATTTTCAATAGAGTTGTCCACATCATCAGACATATAATACTTGAACATAGCATTACATAGCTATTTTAATAAAAACACAACTTTGGAGTCATTGTAGGACTTCAAAAGCAGTTAATAATCAAACCAGAATGGGTATGTTATTACATCTTAACATCCTCAGAGTGCTTGCTTCTACTCTTAGACTTGATATTGTCACGCATACCAATTTCAAATAAAATCAGTCAAGGCAAAACAGCAGTTTAACAAACCAGCTTCAAATAAGATCAGTCATAGTAAGACAATGTAAGTCATACAGGGTTTCAGTTTAAGTTAATAGGAAGTTAAGGATAGTTACCGTGGTATAACTTGCTATTTTGGGGATAGCTATCTGTGCCCTCAAAGTATGAGTAGACTGACCTGAACAAAATAAAATCAAACTAAGCAGAGCAGTAAGATTACTGTGGCTTTTAAATCCTAATATACTATTAACAATGTCCTCCACCTTCCTTTTTTAGGTAATTCCTCACCTTTCCCTTTCTCAGGATGCTTTATATATTTTGGGTCCCACTAACTCCTTTAGTTTTTAGATTAAGGGGGCAACCTGTTATCTATCTGAGTGGTGCTGAACCTTTTTACCCCTGAGTTTGAACTTGATCTTGAGCTGTACTCTTTTATTTACTAAAGCCACAAGGTTTTCCTTCCTTCTAGCTTTGTAGTTCTATACTGCACAAAAGTGTCATAACTTTCCAACCTATCTGCAGCTGCTGGACGAGTTGTCCCTATTTCTCTCTGGTTCCCTATCACTTAGAGCTTCATTTTCTCATCTTCGACTATCAGTTTATTAAACTTCTTTCAGGTTGAGGATATTTCCTATTCAGAGCATCTCAATGGATCATGCCTCCTGTGTTTCTTTTTGTTAGTGTATCTAGGCTATCTATGTTAAAAGTTATAGCCCACCTTCTCTGCCTCAACTCTGCTATTCTGTTTTTCTGCTATTATTTGTCCATTTTTCTCCTTCATTCCACTGTCCTGCTTGTTCACTGAGGCCTCTCTGCCACTGTTGCTGGAATCCTGGTATTTTTTCCTCTCTCTCTCTCTCTGTAGAATATCCTTCAGTATTTTCTGTAGGGTTGGATTGGTGACATGAACTCCCACAGTTCCTCTTTGTCTTGGAAACATCTTGTTTCTCCATTCATTTTGAGAGAGAGATTTTCAGGGTACATTAATCTTGGTTGGAGGTTATTTTCTTTCAGGGCTTGGATTATTTCCCCCTAAGATCTTCTCGATTTAATAGTTTGTGTTGATAAGTCTGTCATTATTTTGATGATTTGTCCTTTGTAGGTGATCTGCTTCTTTTCTCTGACCACTTTTAATATTGTTTTTGTGGTGGATTTCTGGAGTCTTGATTATTAGATGTCTGGTTGTAGATCTGTTTTGGTTGAAGGTGGCTGGAGTTCTGTATGCTTCATTTATCTGGATATCATTTCTTTTTCCTATGCTTGGGAAGTTTTCCTTAATTATTTCTGTGAATAGTCTTTGTAATTCATTTGTGGTTACTCCTGCTTCACTTACATTTTTTATTCTTAAGTTATAGATCCTCTTATCATCTTCTAGCCTTTAAACTGTTATTTCTTGGTTCCTTGTTATTTTTAATGGGTCTTTTCTTTCACGACCACACATTGTAAATCTCTCTTCAAGTTTCGAAATGCTAACTTTTGTTTCTGTCAAGTCATTTTGCCAGTTTTCAATCGAGTTTTTAGTTTCCTGGTAGTCTCTTTGGATCTGTTTCATGTATTCTAGATTTTGTTTATAATCTTCACCAAAGTTTTCTCTTTCTTTTCTGGGTTCTTCCCTCTGTGTTTTCTTGAGAGAGACTTAGTATTTCTTTAATTAACCTTTTTATTTCTTGTCTCACTTGGGTTGGAATTTCAGTTTTAAGTTCATCTATGAAGTCACAAATGTATTTATGTCTGCTGATGTTGTGGCTAACATTGCATGATTGCTGGACTGGTTCTCTTCTGTATTTACCTCTCCTGCACTTTTTTTCCCAGGATCAGTGGCTGGAGGTTTTGTCTTATCTTTTGCTCCTGTCATGTTTCTAGTTTCTTTCAGACAGGTGTGTGGAGGTTGTCTCAGGCCATCTCTGTATTACTTACAGTTTTTCTAAAGCATGCTGGCTGGAGGCTTGCTGCTCTCTCCCAGTGTGCTGTTATCTCAAGTTCTAGGTTTCAAAAGCTGCCAGAAATCCTTATTTCTTCTTCAGTTTGTTTAAGAAATATCACCCTACCCATCCTTCCACTTCTCCACTTGTTTACTCAGATGAGTGAGGACAATCATCGTACCTCAGTGCTTCTTCACTTAAACCTATCTACAGTGTTTGTTTCACTGTACAAAGCACCATACCCATCAAGTATAGAGAATGGGCGATTGAAATTTTGTGGAATGGAATAATAGGGGGGAAAGTGCGTTTTTTGGCCTAGCATACCACGATAAAGTCAGAACAGGAAATACTTCTGTAGTAAAATTCAGTAGTATGAGAATAGAAATCCAAAACTGAGCAAAAAAGTAGGAAAAATGGCACAGCCACCATGATACACTTGGAAATTAAACATTAACCACAGGGACAGAACCATTCCACAAGAATGTTTAATGCTATTTAACTTTGGCAACAACCAGGTGTGTTGACATGGCCTTTAACCCTGGCATGAGAAGTGTAAGGTAGGAGGACCACTGAGAGTCTGAGGGCAGCCTACGCTGCACAGCCAGTTCCTGGTCAGCCTGAACTACCCTGTCTCAAAAACCCTGTCTCAAAACACCAACAGCATAAAAAATAAACAGATAAAACGTTGTCAACTGCAGTCAGTAAACAAGAATTCCAAGACAGAGATGATAAGCCAATGTAAATAAATAAGTATGAAGAATCCAGAGCTGTGAAAACTAAAGAACTAAAATATAGTACTAAAAATAAAGTACTAAAATATATCTATCATAAGGTCTCTGTATATGTATTTTAATGACAGGTTTTAACAATGAGAGATGTTTGAATTATGTCAAAGGTCTTTTCTGCACCTATTAAGATGATTATGTGACTTTTTTGGCCCTTTTCTTTATGTGATATTTTCTGTTGATTCATTTACATGTGTTGACAAAACCTTGCGTGCCTTGGAATACTCACACGTGGTCATGGTATAGGACCTTCATGATTTGTTTTGTTTACTTACAAGCATTTACATGAGGATTTTTACAACTATCTTCATTAATAATATTGGCAATTTTCATTTTTTGTTGAATCTTTGTTCTGTTTTGGTATCATATAATGCTACAGTCAATAAATGACACAATATTTTTTCCCTTTGAATTTCATGGAAGTGTTTGAATATTGGCAGTACTTCTTCCCAGAGTCATGCTAAATTGTAGGTCTTAACAGGTCAAATCTTGGGTAGTTTTGTTAAGTGGCACAGCTTTTATACTGCCTCAATTTCATTGCCTTTTATTGTTCTGTTTGGAAGTTTTATATCTTCCTGAATAATTTTAGTAATTCTTAGGCTGCATGGTTTATATTCATTTCTACTATATCCAATGTATCAGAATATTTGTTCTCAAAAAAGCTTGTCATTTTCTGGTTTCTTCAATGCCTATGGAAATTTTGTCTTTTTCATTTTGTAACTGATTGATGTGATTCTTTTCTTTCCATTTTTTGTAAATTAGGTATTTAGCAATCTTGTTTATCACTTCATTTTACCAACTCTTTGATTAACTGGTCTTTTTTATTTTTGTCTCAATTTGGCTATTTTCTGCTATAATCTTTGCACTTTTTTTCCTTGTCCAATTTTGGATTTGAATTAGTCTTGTTTTTTTTAGACCCTTCAGATGCATTACTAGGGTTTTTAAATTATTATTTATTTTAAATAATAAATGTGGGCATTCATGATTTATGTAGGGAGCCGAGTGACAGGCATTGCTGCCTCCATGCCTCATCGTTCTCTTAAATTCACCATAGATAAAATAAAAAGGGAGACATGGTACCCCACCCAGGGGTCCCCTAGAAATGTCCTTTCACGTGTTCTTTTTATTTTAAATTTTCTGACCCTGGATGCTTCAGGCTGCTCTGCAGCATCTCGATTTTGGCATACTCAAACTCAAACATGGTTTGCGTCTGTTTTATGGAGAGACCCACTAACCAATGTGTGAAATGGCCCTGACCCAGTCCTTATCTGGGGACGAGGTTCAGTGTGTATTTACTCTCAACAAGATAGAGAAGCTAGATGGCTACCTAAACGCCTCGTAAAACAGGTAGACAGTTCTTCAAAGACCCCATATAACGCCCAGGAATAATGTTATTTCCTGAGGCACAATCCCCTGTGTTCTCTTACAGGTGACACATCTCCCTAGAGCCTTATGCTGTTTAGTCAGCCTTCTCCTTGAGCCACACCACACCCATGGTGAATTTCGACCCCTGCCAAACAGACTACAATTACTGACAGCCATGCACAAAACCCCATGACTGCAGAAGAGGCTCTTCTCAGTCTGGAGAAACATACACCAGCCAAATAGACTACATCCAGTGTTATGCGAGGCAAGCTCCAAGACACAAGAGAATGACTTCATACAGAGACACCAACAAATGGCTGTCAACCCCTTCTCCTCGATTTGGGGGGGGGGGAGTTTTTCCCTTACCTAGCTCCCCTTTTGGGTCCCCTAGCTGCCCTATTGTTTCTCCTTTCTGTGAGTCCTTGTATTTTTCAGAGGATTATGATGCTCATTAATAACCGGATAGACGCGTTTATGGCAAAGCCCATTCAGGTACACTATCATCAGCTGGAGATGGCAGATCAACAAACCTACCAAAAAGAAATTCCCACGAGTGGCCCATATGATGATGCGGCCTAACTGCCCTGAAGCAATGGACAGACAGAGACGGGCAACTAGGACATACATGTTAATTCCAACGGCCACCTAAGACAGACACAAGACCAACTGCTGTTCTGCAAGCCCATGACGGGTAAGGCCTGGTTGGGTTCATACAATGAGGTCCTTGACCTAAGACAGACGCTGTCCTCACAGGGCCTGCCATACTCTTAATTAAATAATATAAAAAGGGAGGAGATGTAGGGAGCCGAGTGACAGGCATTGCTGCCTCCATGCCTCTCTCTCCTATGGGCACCGTGTCTGCCTATATTAACCATAATCCTCTCCTGCTTATGTCACGTATCCGGATGTGACGGTGACCCTGTTGTATTCATCTGTTTAACCTCTTCCTGTCCCAGCTCCCGCCCTTAGCCTATAAAAGGTGTGATCATTTCCTGAATAAACTGGAGGCTTGATCAGATCATCTTGACTTGCCTCTATCTCTCTTTGTCTCCCCTATGTCTTTTATTTAATCCCCGTTCCCTCTCCAGGAGTTCTAGATAGATCGATCTACAGGCCGGATCAGATTTAAACTTTCCATTTAGAACTATTGTGATGCTTAGGCTTTGGTATATTCGGTTTCCACTATAATTTTGATAGTAGAAACTTTTAAACTTTGTTTGTTCTTGGATTGATTATTCAAAAGTGTTTTACTTGGTTTCCAACATACTTATATTTCATTCTATTACAACCAGATGGGATGCAAGAAATTTTTTTCTATTCCACTTTAAGCATGTTTTATAGCGTATGTTTTGACCTAGTCTGGAAAAAATCCTGTGTTCCCTTGAGAAAAATATTTGCATTCTGTTGTTTTTGATAAAGTACTCAGTTGATATGTTATCTCCATTTATTTGATGATGTGGTTCAACTTTAACATTTCTGTGTTAAAATTGTGGTTTTTTTGCCTCCTTGACTATATATATTTGTGAAAAGGAAGTGTTGACGTTCCATGTTATGGCTGTAATGGTGTCTATCAGTCATTTTATATCCATTAGTTTCTGTTTTATGAAATTCAGTGCATTAACACTGGATACGTAAAGATTTGTAATTGTTATATCTTCCTGCTGAAATGCTTCCTTTATAGTTACTTTCTTTGTCTCTTCTGATTTGGCTGTCAGATTTGGCTTGAAGTTCACTTTTGCTAGAAAATAGGATGAATAATCCTTGCTTTCAGGCTCTGGTTGTATGGATTATCATTTTCCAGCCTTCCGTTTCCAGCCTATGTATTCTTTGTGGGTGAGGTTTGTCTTCCATTTATCATTGGCTGAGCTTAGCTTTTACATTCAATTCACCATAGTGTGTCTTTTCACCGTAGAGTTAAGACCTTTGACAACAGGTGTTGTTTTTTAAAGCTGTTTACTAAATCCTGTCATTGTATTATTTTCCTAGTGCTGATTTCTGATTTTTCTTCCTTTTGTTTATCAAACAACTCCCCCAGTTAGATGTATTCTTTCCTTGGGCTCTTTGATGATGTTGACCTTGCTATCTCTGTCTAGAACTTACCTTAAATACTTCCTCAGTGCTGGTTTAGTGGTCATGAATTTCTTTAGATCCTCTTTGCCCTAGTGGGTCTTCATTTACGCATCACTTTTGAAGGATAATTTTGCAGCATGCCATCTGGGTTGGCAGTTGTTTTCTTACACTTGAAGAAATCACTCCAACTCTTCCTGAACTTTAATGTTTTTGTTGACATAGCACACAAACTTTTGCTTTTATGGGTTACTTTGTCTTTTTCTGTATTTGTGTTTAGTATTTTATGATGGATTTTGACTATCACATCTTGTGAAGCAATTCATTTGTGATTGATTCTATTAAAGGTTCTAAATACTTCAGATAATTTCAATCTCCAGATTTGAAAGATTTGCTGCAGTGAATTCAATGAATAAATACTGTTAATCCATTAGGTTCATTTTTCATTCTCTCACACAATATCAACAACTGGGATTTCATCATATTAAAAAGCTTTAGCATAACAAATCACTGGCAGGGTGCAAAGAAAGCCCACAGAGTGGGAAAAATATTTGCCAACTGTTCTTCAAAGGACTTATATCTAAAACATATAAAGAACTGAAAGAAATCAGTACCCCATGACTACCAAATGCAAAGACCAATCCAAAAATGAACATCTAAGTGAAAACACACTTACCAGAGGATGTATAAGTGGCAAGTAAATATGTGAAAAATGGTCAGTATCACTGATAATTCCAGAAAAGCAAATTAATGCTGACATTATACATCACAGCTATTGGGGCTGTGAGGAAAACAGAACACTTCTCCACTGTAGGTGATAGTCTAGCTGATGGAACCACTTTGGAAATCAATGTGTAGATTACTCAAAACACTAGGATTAGAGGTCCTATTAGAACCATCTGTTCCCATCCTGGGAATGTCCCTGGGACAATTAAAAGGAGCACACCACAGAGATACATTGCATGCATATTTGTAGTGACACAAACTATACTAGCTAAATCTTGGAAACAACCCACATGCCTGTCAAATCAAGAATGGATGAAAAAGATGTTTTTTTTTATTTAATGGAATATGGATCTAATACAAAGAAGGAAAAAACTGAGACATTTACAGATAAATGGATAGCCCTTGAGACCATAATCTAAGTGAAATAAATCAAACACACATGTGTAAACATCGTATTATCTCTCTGGTGTGAGAAAGTGAAAATGTAAATAAAAACAAAAATGTAGAATGGATATTGTGAAACAGGGAGAAAATGTTCAAAAAGAAAGAAAGAACTATGCAGGAGGGAAATAGAAAAAAAGAAAAAGAATGATAAAATGAAGACAGCAGGAGGGGACTTTAAATGTGGGACAGAAATGGGGAAGAAAGGAATCAAGACTTATTGTATACAACACAAATTCTCTATAATGAATGTGATCATTATACATTTATAACTTGTGCATACACTTAAAATTTTAAAAATAAGTTAGTATTTGAGCATAAAAAAGAATAAAAAGTTTTTAGAACACAATAGAATACTACTGTGTCATAAAGTTGAGTCATATGTACAAAAATGGGTATATCAAAAAATGGGGAAAAATTTTATATAGCAACAAGTCTCAAAGGACTTATATCCAAAACATATAAAGAATTTAAAAATATTAGGTCCCCTAAATTCAAAGACCCTCTCAAAAATGGGCATCTGAGATGAACACTCATTTCTCAGATGAAGACATATAAATAGCAAATAAATACATGAAGAAATGTTTACCATCACTGGTCATTCGAGAAAGGCAAATTAAAACAGCATTGAGATTTCACCTCACTCCAGAAAGAATGGCCACCATCAAGAAATCAAATGATAATAAATGTTGGTAAGGCTGCAGGAAAAAAGCAACACTTCTCCACTGTTGGTGGCAGTATATACTGGTGCAGCCACTGTAGAAATCAGTATGGAGATTCCTCAGAAAATGAGGATTGGAAGTTCCATTCAATCCAGTTATTCCTCTCCTGGATATTTTCCCAGAAAAACTGAGAAGGTCATGTTATATGTGCACCCATGTTTATAGCAGCACAATTTGTAATAGCTAAATCTTGGAGACAACCAAAATCCCCATCAACTGCAGAATGGATGAAAAAGATGTGGTATTTTTATGTAATGAAATATTACTCAGCTATAAAAAGGATGATCTTGAGGCCTTTATAGGTAAATGGAGGCAACTTGAGACTATCCTCATAAGTGAAATAAGAATCATATTTTAAATATCACATTGTATATCTAGTGGAAAAATAAATAGTGTAGGAATAATAAGATCCGAAATGTGTAATAGCTATTATAAAAAAGAAAAGGAAAGTGCTCTAAGGGATATAACTGCATGTATGTTTAAGTATGTGAGATAGATAACCATAATAGTTCTTGTTGGATCATTTAACAGAACAGTTTGCACTCTCATTGTTTGATTGTCCACTTTTATGCTTTAATTTTGTGACTGTAACAACTGTTTCTAAGATGACAGTATGTAATGATCAACTAGTGATTCTTGGTGTTAATTTTTTTGAAATCCTGTAATATTTCTACCCTTTTTTTCTATTTTGATTTTTTCTTTAAATAAAAAAAAGTTTTAAAATGGGTGTACCTTGAGACCATAAAGTTAAATGAAATAAATCAGACATGCAAGCTTAAATAACACATTGTTTCTCCTCTATGAGAAACCCAAATTATAAATAAAGAGAAAAATAAAAGTAGATGATAGGATACGGAGAAGTAGATCTTTCTAAAAGGTAAAAGTCATCAGAACTGAAAGGAGGAAATGTGCGAAAGGAGATTTTTTAAAAAGGATTTAGATGTGTTATTTACTTGTACCAGTTCAGAACACGGAATGGCAACTTTGTGGACTACCAAGATATACCACCAAAAATAAATAATAAGATAAAAAATGACTTTTGAGTTCCAGTCTGGAAGCAGCAGATGAAGTGAGTTAGAGAACTGGCAGAGAAAGGGAAAAAATCAACCAAGGGCTTACATTGTGAAGGTGCAGATTCATTCTGCTATTCTGTGGATAAAGAAGCTTCTTGTGCCCTCTTCAGTTAGTGCCTCTCATTTATTATTTACAGACATGGGAGAATGATTTAGTTTCTATTTATTATAAGAAGATAACAAAAAACAACAAAAAATCAAAAATTCCAAGAACCTCAAAAGTATCTCCATATCATTTCCATCTGTTGCTGTGATATTTGTCTTCTTCCTCCTTGTGATCTTGATGTTCTTCCTTTTGTTCATCATTTTGGGAAAGACAAGATTAAGGCAGGAACCACCCTCCTCCTCCCCATCCTCCAGGTGCTTCTTGAGTATCTGCAAATTAGAGACCTGGAGGCAGCCCATGCACCTAAAGTCACTACACATGTGCTCCTGCTCTGCAGGTGTCATGGCACTGGGACCTGCCTCTAGGGCCAGATTCTCACGTAGCTTCTTCTCAGCTTCTTCCCTTTCTCCTTCCTGTTCACTATCCAAGCCACCATCACCAAGACTTAGGATACCTGTGAGGCTCATGGGAGGGAAGCTGACTTTTGGAGGGTTCCTCTCCTGAAAGACAACATTTCCTATTTTTATCATATTTTCAGGAGCCTCCAAATCTGCTGTATCCTTCAAAGTAGCCACACCCCTTTTCACTAGGACAGGCTTGTAGTAAACATTCATTATTCTTTTCTTTTCAGTAGCTGATGCAGAAACCGAGGGGTTACTGGCCGAGGAGGAAGGTAAATGAGACTCTGGCAGGAAGGAGGAATTCTCCATCTCCATCAGATCTTGATTTGGAAACATCTTGGAAGATCCAGGACCTGGAACACATTGAGGTAATGGTTTGGTGTGTAGAAAAGAAAGCTTCAAAAGTAAGATGAGAATATTCTCAGCTGGGGACAGATGGAGTATCTGTGATATTCAGAATTCTTTGTGTGTTGTGTTGTGTGTAT